GGGTCAAGGCACACCCTTCTCCACGGTTGTCCTGTGAATGTGCGTGTGCCCATGGTGTACCTAGCTAGGCAGACACCTAGCAGGTGCCCAAGAGCTGTTGTTCCTGCTCTGCTCTAAAGGCATGGGGGTTGGGGTCAGCAGCTTCCTCTTTATTTGGGACATGAAAAACTTCGGGGTGCTTTGGATTCCAGCGATTTCTGATATGATTTGAGTTCAGTTAAAAGTGGTCATTTTTAGATTTCTGTGACATTAACTTTTCCTTGTTTGGAGGCTTTGTGTAGATGTTTAGAGCTAGATGGGACCTTGGAAATCAGGCCACAGAGAGTGTCAGAGCTGGAAGGAACTTTCGATCACCATTTCTCAGTGCAGTTCTATGGGCTTCATCACACACCTGCTGAATCAGGCTTTCTTGGGATTGGGCTTAGAGTCTGCCTTTCTTTTTTGCATTTCCTGGATGCTCCAGTGCCCCTTGGAACTTGAGAACCACTGCTTTGTAGAACATTTTTGGGCCTCCCCTTCATTTTACAGGTGAAAAAACTAAAGTCCAGAGGGGCAATGCCAGCTGCTTGCATAACACTCATATTTAGGTACAGAGCCAGGGGTAGAACCAAGTGCAGCCCTCCCCAGGTCTCCTGTTTGTCCCCATGGAGCCCATGTTTCTGTTAAAAACAAGTCACACAGTTTAGACGTGCTCTTGAGCAAACAAGCCCAACAGCTCACCAAAGCTCAAAACCTGACCTCAGGATTTCTCTAATAATAATATCTTGAACTTAATAGGGCAAATTTTGATTCATCTGGGGTAATTTTTTAGTTTTTATCTTGGCCATCTCATGGAGTTGTTTGGCACCCTGAGATGCACCTCAGAGGATTTTAATGCAATGCATAAACAAGGAGGAAGAAGTAACCAACTCATTTTATGAATTGATGAATGTAGTGAGATAAGCAGTGGAAGTCAGGACTCAGCCCTTGGGCTCTTATTTCCTAATTGGATTTTGTGTAATATATATTCCTGATGTCTTTACCCGGAGATAAGGATAATGAGCTGAGCTGCTGCGGCTGTGATTAGGTGGCGGCAGAGATCTGCTTGGTTACCGTGACTGCATCCCTGTCCCTGTCATGCAATCACATAGAGCTGCCCCCACCCTGAGGGAGCGGATTCCCAGGTCCCCGAAAGTCACAATGGGGCAAGTAGTGGAGTCTTATCACAAAGATGCTGATGTAACCAAGCGTCTGGACTTGTGTTTGAACTTGAGAGCACTTAATGGACTAAAGAGACATGCTTTAGTCACATTCTAGGGGAATTATAAATATTACACATTTTTTTCTTTTACTTTTTTCATTTAAATAATGTCTTTTTTTTTGCTAGATTGTGATGAAAACACCATAGAAGAGAGGAAGGGCAATTTAATTCTTCCAGGCAGTGTTTTTTACTTAGCAAAAACAGAAGCATTTGCTGTCATGACTCTAGTGATAGTGGAGTAGGAACATTCGAAGGTGGCATCTGCATTTCCAGTACAGACCTTGTTATGGATGGGAGTTTAATTTTTATTTTAAATTATTCATTCATATAGAAGTGTTTAATTGTCTGTTTTGCAAAATTTATGTTTTTTTTAAACTTACCTAAAGCAGTGTTTTTCTAAACAAAACCCCACCAGAGTGGAAGGGGAGCCTTGAACTTCTTTTAGATGCAATGCTTACAGTGAGACATGTGGTTTTTTATTATATGACGTTGTGGGTCATTAACTCACAGGGACCCAGGAGTCCAGATCTCAGGATTGTAGGAAGAACATCCCAGGCCACCTGTGCCCATCCTACCATCCCTGCCCTCCAGCTTGTGCCTACTGGCGGCGATGGTCTCAGTGGACCCCATGCTCAGACATGAGTCTCTTGGAGGCTTCCTTGCCCCACTGGTCTTCCTGGGGGCCCCTTCCCTTCAACTTCCTCAGTCCTACTTCACCCTCACTGCCTGATATGTTTTAGTTCTCCTCTCCACTCCCTCCCACCTTGCTGGGGCATCTCTTGTAGTGGTCAGAACACTCAGGAGGGTGGATATTGGTCCCCACTTCCAGCTGGGCCCTGGGGCCTCCAGCCCGATCTTCAGCTTAGTGCTGACCTTCAAGCTCGGCTTCTGGCTGCTGCTCCAACAGCACCACCCCATCCCTACAGCGACCACGTTCTCTGTTCACTGACCCAGACAAGGCACTGGAAAGATCCAGGCTGAATATGGTTCCAGGAAGAGGCTTGGCTGCCACAGTTCCTTGTGCATGCAGGATTGTTCCTCCTTCTTCTCTTCTTTCTTCTTCCCTTTTCTCTTTCAATTGAGGTGCAAAATGGATTCAGTGAGATGCATAAAATGCACAGCTCTTCAGTGCCTTCTGGATCCAGGGGCCTCCCCGGGAGGAGCCAAGCCTCAGCCAGGCCTGTCCAAGGGTTCCAGGCCCTGGAAGGATCTGGCTGCCAGGGAGATGGACTTGTGCTTGAAGCTGTCTCCAGTTAAAACCGGATAGTGTGGGTGGGGTGTGGCAGGGGATTGGTGCTGTGGGCTTCAGGGAAGTGTGCGGTTTGATGGGTTTTGCAGAGGTACGCACACATTTACCACCACCCAGAGAGAGAGTATTTCCGTCACCTCAGAAGGTCCTTTCAAGACCCTCCCTAGCCACTCCCATCTCCTCCAGAGGTGACCACCGTTCTGACTTGTGTCACCATTGATTAATTTTGTCTTTCACTTTTGATTCCATTGGCACTTTGTAGTCTAAAGAGCATAATTTTGTGCCTGTTTAGGGAGGAAACTCTCATTTGTTGCCAGCCTTCCGGGCTGCCCTCTTGATGTGCTCTTACAAAACTTCACAGCATTTCTGCATGGCGGGTGATGCCAGCTCTGTTTTCTAGAAAGGGAAATAAAGGCTTACAGAAGTGGGAGAGTTATCCAGGCTCACAGAAGATTCCCAGCAGGGCTAAGAGTAGAACTGAGACCCTATCTAGGCCAGCCTCCACCCTTCCCAGTACCTCAGTGCCCCGCGCCCCCTTCACGCATCCTTAAGCCCTCGCAGGAGCCCCTTGTTGGCAGGGACTGTGCCTTCCTTGCTGGTTTGGTAGCCTCGTGGGACTCACCAGCACGGAGGCAGAATGTGCGCCCAGGGTAGTCAGTGGATGAGAGTTTGCTAACTGCTTGGTCCGCTAGGTGGGGTGCGCAGATGGCTGGGAAGAAACAATAGGCCCCAGGACAGCCAGCAAAGGTGACACGAAAGGACTTATACAGGCCTCGATTTCACCTAGAAGGAAGGGTGTCTGGTGAGTGGACAAAATGCCCCAAGGCATGTTTTGACTCAGCGCTGAGTAGCAAAGGGTTTCTTCAATCCACCTCTTGCTGGCTGCCTCCTAGTGTGTCTGCCTCATAGCAGGAATTCGGTTCTGAATGTGAGGCCTGGACCCACTCCCTGCTCTTGGGTGACCTGAAAGTTAAGCAGGCTAACATAATGCTGCCACCCTAAGCACGTGGGTATTCTAATCTGAGAATGCTTGTTTGCCCATGTCCCCAAGGACACGGTGACACCCTTGCCTTTCCTGTGAGCTGGAGGCCCTCCAAGGGGCAGGGTCTCAGCAGGAGGGAGGCAATTGATGGGCCAAAAAGGGCTAAGTTCCAGGGTCAGCCGCCTGGTGCCCACACCTGCACACAAATAGAAACATCACAAAATTAATGGTCTGTTTACTCAAAATGCAGATCAGCCTTCAGTGTCCTTACTTTTGACCAATTTTGCAGCAGTAGAAATTGTACCCTGCAGGCTCATAGATTCTTTGCCTTTGGTGTTTGCTGTTCAGAGAGATGCTTCTTTAAGGAAGGATCGCTCTCCTTAATAATTGACCTACTCAGATATGTACAAGTGACACAGATCAATAGGTCCCCTTCTCTGTAAAAGGACCCTCTAGTGTTCAGGAGACAGGACTTCTGTTGTGTGGCCTCTGCTTGGTGAGAAATGGCATTGCCCAGTGAGTGACTGGCCAGCCCTGTTGTCTGAAATAAGATCTTTCCCTGTGGTACATCTGGAACTTGGCCTTCTGAAGGGTCCCAAAATAGCCAGGCCACTGAAGGGAGAACTTCATGAGAGGACATAAGAGGGGGACCCCAACTGTTTCTCTCCCGAACAGGCTTTGTTGTGTTAAAGAAAAAAATTATTCAGTGATGCTCGTTAAAGCGCACTAATGAAGACTTGACTTAGAACCATTGCGATAGGTATAGGAACCACCTCAATGGAGTCTGGCAGTGGGGGAGAGAGATTGGGCTCAACTCCGAATACAGCATGGACAAGTGGGGATTTACAGCCAAGGAGCCGGGAGGGGTCAGTGGATGGAAAATTACTAAGAGGAAACTTCAGGGGTGAGGAGGATTCTGGCTGAACTGACTTAACAGGATTCTTGCTGAAGATAGGCCAGGGTGACCAGACATCACCTAAGGGGTGGTGGAGGATGAGGAACCTGATCCGATATCCAAACTGTGTTCTGTGTTTGGGCCCAATACAAATCGATGTTGTTGGGAAACATGAGGGCCTTTTTGGAAGCAGAAGCCTGCTGTCATTCAGTAGTTGGGATTGAACCCTGCTCCTGGGGATCACCTTCTGATCTGGGTCGGTGAGGATTTGGGAGACAGTCAGTGGCTCTCCTACATACACTGCTGCCCTTTGTCACCCAGAGAAGAAACTTGTCTTACCAGTTTGGGAAACTGGGACCTCTCTGTGCTCAGCAGATACCTTGACTCACCTGCCTTCTCCTGATGCCCCTAATTCTTAGCTGCCAGCCAAGCAGCAGCCTCTGGGGGGGCATGGGTGGGAGGCTTGGCAGGAGCAGGGGCTGTGGAGCAGCCGGGCTCCCTGTGCTTGGCCTCCTGGCTGGCACCGTGGGGCCCAAATCGCTCTGGAAGAGTGTCATACTCTCCTCTGCCAGGGGTGTTTTCTTCCCAGGCTTCCCAAAGAAACCGGTCTGAATTTCTCTTCTTTTTATTTCAGGAAACTGCGTCCTCTGCCAATGGCCCTTCCCGGGAGGGCTCCAGGCTGCTGCTCACTAGGGAAGGCCACCCTGTGTACCCCCAGCTCCGACCAGGCTACATTCCCATTCCCGTCCTCCACGAAGGTGCTGAGAACCGGCAGCCACACCCTTTCCACGCCTATTCCCAGCCTGGGACACAGCGATTCCGAACGGAGGCGGCAGCGGCGGCTCCTCAGAGGTCCCAGTCACCTCTGCGAGGCATGCCAGAAGCCACCCAGCCAGACAAACAGTGTGGACAGGTGGCAGCAGCTGCGGCAGCCCAGGCAGCCCAGCCCCCAGCCTCGCACGGACCTGAGGTAAGGCAGGCCTGCCGGGGGTGGGAGCGAGTTGCTGTGCTGCTTAGGCTGGGTCCCCGCCCCTGAGGACAGTGCCCTGGGCCAGGCACCTGTTAACATGCTGGGCAGCTGGGCCTGGCCTGCAGCGTCAGAGGTCACCCAGCAAAGACAGGTGGACAGTCCCACGTTATCCCCCAACATTTCATTGGTGTGTTTTTCAGGTGAGCAAGGCAGGAATTACATGGCTTATTTTCATAGTTATGGAATTGGGGCTCAGAAGGGTAAACTGTAAACTGCTTGGTTCAAATGCACACTGATGGGAGTAGCAGGGACCAGAGATATGGCCTTCTAGCTCCTAATTTCACTGCTCCTTATTCACACTGGGCTTTCTATTTCAGAAACACAGAGATAGTTGTGTATTATTTTGTTCAGTTCAGTACTTATGGATAAAGCTTAACTTCTTGGAGCTATGTTGATATGAAAATGAGACTCCATACCTGCCCTCACAGTGTACCACATTTAAAAAGGAAATTCAAAATAAGGAGTCATCAGCATGAGCAAGAGCAAGATCTTGTCTCTAGTAAAAATAGAAGAAATTAGCCAGGTGTGGTGTGTGCACCTGTAGTCCTAGCTATTAGGGAGGCTGAGGCGGGAGGATCATTTGAGCCCAGGAGTTCGAGGTTGCAGTGAGCTATGATGACGCCCCTGCACTCTAGCCCGAGTGACAGAGTGAGACCCTCATGCAAAAAAAAAAGAAAAAAAAAACCAAAAAAATGAGTCAACAAGGCAGCTGCTTTAAGATGGGGTTTTATTCCTGAAACCAAACACTTCAGGGTGTGTTGATGGATTCAGTGCATTAATAGCTAAAAAGTAGTTCTTAATCTGGTTCTTAGCAGAGATTTGGGGAGTCCCTAATAGGATTCCTGAGCAGTAAGTCCTCTTCATTTTCCTGTCTGCAGATGCTGCCTGCAGTTGTGTCTACTGGCATTGCTCTCCAGCACGAATTCTCATTTCCTATCTGCACCCAGAGTCATGATTGCCTCTCGGCTCTGCTCTGAATCTGTTTAGTTTCACAACCTGCTTGGGAATGAAAAGTCATAGTTAATGTGGGATACTGGGAGGCTTTTTTCCTTTCTTGGAGAAAGCAGTATTTATAGTGTTTTTACTGTAAAAAATCAATGTGACACATCAATCAGAGAGAAATCTTAGCAAATTTAAGCTAACAAAGCCCTTATAAGCCAGCTGGGGAAACGTCTTTTTCATTTTCTAGGTGAATAGAAGGTGGCGCAGGAGGGAAAGGGGCTTGGCCTGCCTTAGGCCACACGGGGAGGCTGGGGATGCAGCAGCTCCCACTCACTCAGCTGCGTTCTCTGTAGATTAGTAGAGAAAGGGTTAAGGAACGAGGAAAGAGATGACATATAATGACAACAAATACAGTGTATTGTGCACTTCCTGTGTGTTGGACTCATGCTCAGGCATGTACACAGGGGATTTTACTTAATCTTCACAGCAGCCCAATGAGGAAGGGGAGACACTCTTCCTATATCAAAGGAGGCTCAGAAAAGCTACAGAGCTATGAAGAATTTGAACCTCTCAGTCTTAACCCCACATTTGGAAAATTGAAACATTTACTGATGGCAGGTCTTAGGAAATGTGTTCCCCTGAGCAGGTGCACAGTGGAAGGCCCACTTGGAGTGCCAAGGCAGAGAGGTTGTTCATGGGGCCATGCCCTCTACCTTTTGTGTCTTGCAGCGGTCCCAGTCTCCAGCTGCCTCTGACTGCTCGTCCTCGTCCTCTTCTGCCAGCCTGCCCTCCTCTGGCAGGAGCAGCCTGGGCAGTCACCAGCTCCCCCGGGGCTACATCCCCATCCCTGTGATACATGAGCAGAACGTCACCCGGCCAGCAGCTCAGCCCTCCTTCCACCAAGCCCAGAAGACCCACTACCCAGCGCAGCAGGGTGAATACCAGACCCACCAGCCTGTGTACCACAAGATCCAGGGGGATGACTGGGAGCCCCGGCCTCTACGGGCAGCGTCCCCGTTCAGGTCACCTGTCCGGGGCGCATCAAGCCGGGAGGGCTCGCCAGCCAGGGGCAGCACACCGGTGCACTCCCCGTCACCCATCCGTGTGCACACCATGGTCGACAGGCCTCAGGTATGGAAGTTAGGTGTCAGCAGACTGGCTCCGGTGGCGTCTCTGCAGGGGCTGAGAAGCTCTGCAGTGCCCTGGATTCCCCGTAGCTGTGCCTATGTGTAATTGGAGGAAAGTGAGATTTAGAAAATTGCTGGTCATCAACAGAAATGCAGGACGAGGGCTCTGAGCCCTGAGCACTTTCTGCAGTTTTGCTTGGCTGATCATTTTCCATTGCAGTGGCTATAGGGGCAGAGGAAATGGCTCGGCAGAACTCACACACCTGGGACCAGGTTTCTTAGTGCCCACCACACCCTTTTAGGGTTCTTCCCACCATATGCACGCTCCAGCCACAGTCTCCTCTCTGGTTCCTTCCTCACTGTTACTCCTCCACTCCGGAAGCCCGTTCTGCTCATTACCCCCGCTGTGTCTTTGATCATGCTCAGCCCCTCCCTGAAAGGCCCACACAATCCAAGTTCTCCCTGTCCTCCTCCAAGGGACAAGAGCCCTTGTCTCTTCCATGAAGCCTTCTTATCTTTCTCAGGGTGCCGTGTATGAGTTCCTTGTGGTTCAACATGTGATTATTCTGTGCATTTCAAAAGTGTTCATCTTATCTCTTCAGCTCAGCACTGAACCGGACCACAGGGACCATGTCTTATACTTTCCTCCTCCCTTTGCAGTTGGGTACCACGTTGCCTGGCTGATGCATCAGCTGGCTGTGGTGACTGGGAAGCCATCGTGGCCTGGTGAAGGTTGTGGGCACGGGTCTGCTTATTCTCCAGTGGAGATGTGGGATGCTGGTTCCTGGAGGAGGAAGTCATTTAGTTTAGCAGCTTAGTAGCAGAACATTCGGCAGCCCTGGGCCCCCTCTGGCTGCAACTTGAGCAGCTGAATTAATTCTTTGCCACAGTTTTTTAAAGGAAAGCTCCCTATGAACAAGTGTAGGGTATCACTACAAATGCTGATACTGTCCAGGGCCCTGGATCAGAGCACCTCCTTTTAAAAATTTTTAAGCTTTTTTATTTGGAAATAATTTCAACCTTAGAGTTGTAGGAATCATACAAAGAAGTCCCATATACCTGTCACCCAGTTCACTGTTAACATTTTGCTGCATTTGCTTTGTCATTTCTTCTCTCTTCTCTGTGTATTTTAACTATTTGGGAGTTAGTTGCAGACATCATATCCTTTACCCCTAAATACTTCAGCATATATTTTCCCAAGAAAAAGACATTCTCATTCATAACCATAGTAGAATTAGTAGATTCAGGAAATTTAACACTCTTAAAATACTATTATGCAATCCACAGTCCATTTTCAAATCTCCATTACGGCAGTTTTTCCCATTCCAAGATCTAATCCAGGGTCACGAGCACTGCATTTAGATGTCGCTCCTCTTTAGTCACCTTCAGTCTGGAACGGTCCCTTGGCCTTTCTGTGCTTTCATGGCCTTGATGTTTTTGAAGAGCTCAGGCCATAGGGCACCCTCTCTTAAGTGTTTTCCAAAGTCATTTCTTACACAGCCATTGTTTGTAAACCCCAAGGAAGGGCAGTGTGATTGGTTTGCGAGTGGTGATGGCCAAAGTTGAGGATATCTGATTGGCAGAAGAGATTTGATGGAAGGGGAGGTTGCTTGTGTTTAGATAGCTAAGGGTCATACCATGTCCATACTTGGGTTCAGTAATCCTAGGAAGGAAGTACTATTTGTAGAGACAGAGGTATTTTCCCACATATTATTCTCATAATCAATGAAAGAATATTTACTACTACTTTTACCCCCATTAACCTTGTTTATAGTAACCTCCCTTTTATAGCTTGTTCAAAGATCCCTTTTGGGAAGCTTTCAAAGACTTGTGACCTAACTGAACATTATAGTGGAATTTAGTATTTCAAATTGGGAGTACTTTAGAAGTAATATAGTCTGACTCTTTCCCAGTTGATGAAATTAGGGCATGTGAGATTTTTAAAGAGGTTTTAGGTAGTCCTTGATATGCTAGAAGAGCCAAGATATTTCTGTTTTGAGCATAGCTCATTTAAAAAACAGTCACATGAGAAACTGCAGCCAGAGGTCGGCGTGGAGATGCTGCATCATAGCTGAGTGTTAGGCTCTGGCACAAACGTGCTGAAGCGAAATTCTTACAGTATTAACTATTTTGAGCATCTTGCTTATTCTCAAAAAATACATCAGCCTGGGCCTAAACCACTAGGCTGTCATAGGTTTAAAAAAACGATTATATGTTTTCTGAAACAGGAGATGAGAAGGTCACACTGTGAGCAGAGACTGTCTACGCAGCGTAAGGAGGGAGGACCAGTGTCAGCCAGTCCATGGCTGCATCACCTGAGGCTGGAGTCACTCAGGACTCTGCTCTGAGCTAACCTAGTTTGGCAGTCAGCATGAGTTTTTGTTATTTCCATTTTTTGAAAATTATATTGGTTTTCTTTTCATTGCCTTAAGAATATTTGGTGAGAGGTAACAAACTGGTACCCAAGGTGAACAGTGGAAGCCTAACTAATGGTTTGGTCACCTGCGTAATTAATATCATGTTTTTATTTTGTAACAGCCCATTGGTTGACTTTGAAAATCTTTATACTGTTAAACTTTTTTTTAAAAAAATCCGTTTTCCCAGTTTTCTTTCTAATCTGTATTAGCTACAAACAACTGTCAGTGACTTTCAGCCAGTTATTAAAAACATCTTTATGTCCTGTTCTCTTTCTCTCAGCAGCCCATGACCCATCGAGAATCTCCACCTGTTCCCCAACCTGAAAACAAACCAGAAAGTAAGCCAGGCCCAGTTGGACCAGATCTCCATCCTGGACACATCCCGATTCAAGTGATCCGCAAGGAGGTGGATTCTAAACCTGTTTCTCAGAAGCCCCCACCTCCCTCTGAGAAGGTGGAAGTAAAGCTTCCCTCAGTTCCAGTTCCTTGTCCTCCTCCCAGCCCTGGCCCTTCTGCTGTCCCCTCTTCTCCCAAGAATGTGGTTGCAGAAGAGAGGGCAGCCCCCAGCCCTGCCCCTGCAGAAGCTATACCCCTAAAACCAGCAGAAGCTGAGGCCCCCCCAAAACATCCAGGTGTGCTGAAAGTGGAAGCCATCCTGGAGAAGGTGCAAGGGTTGGAGCAGGCTGTAGACAACTTCGAAGGCAAGAAGACTGACAAAAAGTACCTGATGATCGAAGAGTATTTGACCAAAGAGCTGTTGGCCCTGGATTCGGTGGACCCTGAAGGACGAGCTGATGTGCGTCAAGCCAGGAGAGATGGTGTCAGGAAGGTTCAGACCATCTTGGAAAAACTTGAACAGAAAGCAATTGATGTCCCAGGTCAAGTGCAGGTTTATGAACTCCAGCCCAGCAACCTTGGAACCGATCAGCCGCTGCAGGCGATCATAGAGATGGCAGCAGACAAGAGGGAGAAAAGTGCCGGAAGCGGAGAAGGTCCCCAAACGGAAACCCAGCAGCCAGAAGCCAAAGCAGCAGCAACTTCAAACCCCAGCAGCACGACAGACACAGCTGGTAACCCAGCAGCACCGTAGTCTCTGCCCCGTACAAACCAGACTCAGAGACTTGGAACCGATGTGAGCTTTAGGGAATTTTAAGTTGCATGTATTTCAGGGACTTGAAGTCGGTTGGTTTCTGTTATTTGTAGGTTGGTACATAGTAACTTGGGTGGAGGCAAAACACACTAATAAAAGGGCTAAAAGGAAAATGATGCTTTTCTTCTATATTATTCTGTACAAAGAAAGAAGTCGCTTGTTGTTGCAGAAGTTAAACTCCATTGCTTATTGTTTTGGGGCCCTCTCTGTGCATGGGTACCACATGTTAGCTGTGGCCGTGAGCTGTCTTCCTGTAGCTCTGGACTGAAGAAGTTTTTTGGTGGGGGGAGATGGGGAGTCAGTTTCCCATCACATAAATATGAGACTTATTTTTCAGAAATGTTGCCATTTAGTGGGATGATTTTCTTCATCTCATAAATAAAATACCTAACTTTAGATAGAACACAATGTGTAAGGAGCCATAGGAATTATCTGTATGTTGGACGACTTTAATGCTACATTTTAAAAAAAGGAAAATAAAGTAATACTATAACTCAAAACGTGTTTTGTGGTTTCTAAACCTTTGAAAATAGTGGTAGCATTGAGATTGTCTGTTCCTGGCTTCAGTCAGAATAAATGGCAGATGAATTTACAAGCCTACTCTGGGATTCACGACATCTCTACCAGCCTGGCTCATGAAGGGATTTGTCTTGGCCACTTTTCAGTCTCAGATTACAGCTGGAACCTGGGAAGACTCAGGGCCGTGCACTCAGGTAATGGGAACGTGCCTGCTGCACCCCTTCAGACTGCCCCAGCCAACAGCCAAGGTGCCACTTAGGCAGCATCTCTACCCACCTGGCCTCGGGCTACTCTCAGACCTCACCAGGAGGCTGGAATAATTGGAAAGTTCTCGGGGAGGCCAGTTCCTACTATTGCCCGAGACTGACCAAAGTGTTCCTGGAGTCCAGGTCACTGAGGGTTGGAAATGTGCTCTAAGAGTCTTGGGGTCATCTTTATCTGATACCTCTGAGTCACCAAACCAGACCAGGACCGGGTTTGTCTTCCCAGATTGGGTTCCTAGAAGCCTTCGGGGTTAGGGACCAGAGGCACTCAGAAGCCACTGAGTACAAGATCCTTGTTTCTGTGCCAGTGATTTTTTAAAGCTTGGGAAGGACCACAGCCCCAAAATGTGGAGATGTGCTGGATTTTGGTTTTCTTCACTGCTTGCCAAAGAAAGGGAAAAGGAAAAGGCCTGAGACCTTGGAAGTCCCAGTGAGAATGCTGACTTAAAAGCCCCTGAGCTGAATTTCTCATGACTGTACTGAGTTTAATATTGGTGCCTGACGGTGCTGCACAAAAATACACACTGGTGTACTTGCCACTCTTAGCCTGCTGAGAAAGGCTGAAGTCATTCCGATGGGAGTCTGCCAACATCATTCCTGGGTGAACTCATTTGGGGAATACAAGCCGACATGCCACTAATTCTAGAAATGTGAACATGTAAATAGAAAAAAAAGGCCTACTGGACTATTTTTAAAATGAACCAAAGATAATATAACCACTTCTTTTTGGGACTTGGGCGTCTGTTCTCAATGGACTTCAAACAACGTTAGAGTTCCTTGAGTGGTTCCTGAATTAGGTTGATAGTATTTTTATCACTAAACATCATCAATAAGTTGCTCTTTAGTGTAGCTGGAATATTTTCAATCATCCACAGTAGATGGAGCACGGGCAGCAGGACAGGAGTTACCTGGCCTGTGTCGGTGGCCCCTGGGCCTTGCACGGGGGCAGGGCATGGAGCTGGCTGCAAGGCTCTAAGTAACATAACTGTTGGCCCCTCAGGAGTTGGGGGGCCAGATACCTACTGAGTGTCAGCGGTTCTGTGATCCTTCAGTAGCCCTCCCTGCCAGTGTGTCCAGATCCTGCCCCCCGTGGGGCCCCCTTTTTGTGAGATTTCCCCCATTTGAACCGAGTTCCTTCTCAGACTTTCCTTTCCCAAAACTGCTGGTGCCCTTCAGTCTGCCAGCACTCTCAACATCCTTAGTCATTTCCTCAGCGAGACCGTAAGTCCCCCGAGGGTGGCAGGGCCATCCCGAGCTTGCCTTACTCCCACGGTGTTGTCCAGACCTGGGCACACAGGGACCCGGAACGGCCAGGAGGGTCTTAAAAGTCCCCCTCACTTAAGACGTCACGATTCCAAGGCTAAATGGACGTTCCTTCAGAAATAAATGCCACCATCAGGAAATGGAGTTGAGGGGCAGCTCTTTCACCAGCTTTCCCTTGTAATTCCCAGATACGTAATTTGGGGCAAGTTGTTTCCTCTCTCTGGGCCTTTCCCCTCCCATCTGTGAAAGGTGGGCATTGACCAAGGCCCCTCTTGGTGGTCTGGATGATTCTGGTAAGTCCGTGCTTGTGTCTGTTGTGGTCTCTGCCCCTGGTATTTCTTCCTTATGCCGGGCCAGGAAGCATAGCACGGACTCCACCGTGGGCTGTGTGTCCTGTGAGCCCCGGGTGAGTGTGGCCCGTCTGCCCACTGTCCTGTAACATTATACAAGTGTAATCATATGCCAGCGGACAGCATCCAGGGTTGTAGTTATTTTAGGATGCGCAGGAGCCTGTGGGAAAATGCTGGAACATGTCTTAGTCACTTGGGCAGATACCTTTCTTTCCGTGTTCCAGCATGTTTTGAACTCTCAGGCAGCATAAAAAAAGCTCAGACAGGCACACCCCCCTTTGTGACTACACTGGCTCTTCCTGAGCGCCTCTCCCGGTCTCGGCCTGCGCACCACCTCCTCTGGGCTCTGGGAAGTGTGCGTGCGGAGCGGGGAGAACAGGGCTGGAGAAGCCCCTGGAGGCCTGGCGTGTGGGAAAAAACTCTGGTGCCTCTATCGATATGTAATCCAAAATAGTAATCCACAAAAGAAACGTAAGGAAGATCTGAATTTCCCATGTCATACTTTGTTGCTTTTAAAAAAATTTAAAAACTCCAGTTATGTGATTCCTCCAGTCATGGGCATGTCCCTGCTTTCCTGTTCTGTTGCCCAGCGCTGCCCAGTAAGAACCAGTGGAGACCAGGAAGAGCTGTGTCAGTCCCAGGGGAGGACCACAGGAGAGCGCAGCAGAAGCCCGCCGTGCTGCCATCCCACCCTCAGTGGAGGGGACGAAGAGGCGGCCACAGGTCCTCCCAACGGGGAGGACCAAGACAAGCAGGGCCAGAGTTCATGGTGCACTTGGAAGCCAGCAGCCTGAAGGATGTGCAGAGGGAGTTGGAAAAAGCATTCCAGGTAGAAAGGGTCGTTTTCTAGAATACTCCTTTTCCTGTCCCAGCTTCCCTAGCCAGAGCTTGCTCTGAGGACCTGGCTAGCCATGTGGAGGGAAGGTCTCTAGTCGGAAGAGGGGCGATCCTGCCACCAGCCCCTTGCTTGTTCCTTGCTTGTCATCTCTTTCTCTCTCAACTGGCCCCTTCTTTCTCCTTAGCACACAAGAAGCATGAACCGGAAAAACCCACTTCCTTCTCGCCCCTCCCAGCCTACCCACTTTGTTATCAGACATGGAGAAACAGCCAGCTAGGCCCCCTTGCCACCCGCTGTGATCCACCCCATCGCCCCTGCCGAAACCTCCCGTGGGCAGGCACGTCGCTGTAGTCGGTACACAATTTCTCCAGCTCTCCTCCCATCAGACCCTTTGGACTCCCCTCTTTTCCCTCCCTTTCTTAAAAGGTCTCCCAGATTCCTCCTTCACCCCACTGTGCTCACCACCATGTGACGATTAGTATTATATGTCAGCTTGGCTGGGCCAGAGTATCTAGCTATTTAATCAAACACTAGATGCTACCATGCAGGTGTTTTGTAGATCTGGTTAACATCTACAATCAGTTTACTTTAATTAAAGGAGATTAATTATGCTTCATGGTGTGGGTGGGCCGCATCCAATCAGTTGAAGGTATTAAGAGCAAAAACAGGTTTCCTGGAGAAGAAATTCTGCCTCTGCCTCAAGACTGCAGCATCAGCTCCTGCCTGAGTTTCTAGCCTGTTGCCCTGCCCTACAGACTTCCAGCTTGTCAGTCTCCACAATTGTGTAAGCCAATTCCTTACCAAAAGCCACACGCACAGAGTATAGGTACGTTCTGTTTCTCTGGAGAAGCCTGGCTGATACGTGCTGTTCACACTCTCACTGGTTCCCCAGCTTCCTCCTCCCAGACCCCAGTCACCTCCGGGTCTATGTTTCTAGGACCCTCTTTCTCCTGAACCCAAAATTTAACTCGCAGTTGCCTGCAGGGCACATGGAAAGGTGAGCATGCACCTGATAGCATCCAGGAAGCTAGAATGCAAATCTTGGGGTTCCCTCAGGGTTTCCCCAGCACCCAGTCAGCTCTAGCCCAGTGCAAGCCTTCCATGGGGTGCAATCGCGAAGCTCATAGAGGCCAGCCAGGTGGAGGAGTGACAGAGCCAGCTGTCACAAGTGGGGGTGGGACGGAGGCAGACATGACACCCAGCCCCAGCTGGTGGGACGTGCGGGGACAGGGGTCTAGTGTTGTAAGAGCTTTCGCTTTCCAATCTTCAAGAAAGACCAGAAATCTGTTCCTGTGAAATCTCTCAATTTTTAAATATTTTTAAATGTTTTTTAAAACCAGGCAGGCCCAACCAAAACCCATCTGCAGGCCAGACTCAGCCTCCCGGCTGCCAGTTAGCAAGTTCCAAGTCCCACTGAGCTATAAATATTTAATTCTGTCTCCAGTCCCTCCTGTCCTTCCTGCTACCCCTGGGAGCGTTGTAAGGGCAAGGGCTGTGACTTGGGCTTCTTTGACTCTGCTGTACCTGCCTTGGGCGGGGGACAGGTGCCGATGAAGGCCCGGGAGAAAAGGCAGCTGGGAGAGGCAGCACCTCTCCCTCTGGCTGCAACCCTTTTCTGTCCCCACACCCCCACCCAAGGCTTTCATCCTGCTCAAAGATCTCCAAGAGCACCCTGTTGCAGCTCGTTCGGAGTCCCCAGCCCTGACTCCTCTATTCTAAAGAAGTCAGTGGGCTGCCTCCAGGATCCCCTGGTGTAAACAAAACTCGCCTTGAAACCCTCATGCTCTTTTTGCTGGCCTGTTCATCACAGGAATTTTAAGGGTAGTGGTTGAGGTTGGCTCTGGAGTCAGGTAGGCCGGGTTTCAATCCCAGTTTCCAGCTTCCTCACTCAATGATTGTGCGACCTTGGGCAGGTTCTTAACCTTTTTGAGCCTCGGTTTCTCCCTTAGGTAAATGGCGACAGTAAGAGTACTTTACATGAAGTAGCACATGTAATTTTGAGTACACCCACTTGCCAAGACAGTCAATAACTGGGAGCGTTGTTTCTCCAATTCTTCCCTTCATACCACCCCATGACCAGGAGAAAGGGGCAAGAAGCAGGCCCAGAGCTCTCCAACCTCAAGGTGGCATCTGGGCAGGTCCGGGGCAGGGCTAATAGCACATCACTCTGGTTTCTTCTCTCCACTTCTATAACCTCCCTGCCACTCAAGTCTGGATGGCATCTTTTTACAGTGGTCCAAGCAGGGATCTTGTGGCTGGGACAGGCA